TGCGGTCCCGAAGATGTTGTGTTTAACAACTGTGGGTGATTCACTTAACAACCATAGTGGAACTGATGTTGTAAGTGCATTGGATCAACAGATGTTTCACTTAACTACCAAGTCACTTAACAACAGAGATGCCACTCCCAATTGTGGTTGTTAAGTGTGGACTACCTGTACTTTCAGTTTTAACAGCTGCATATACAAACAGATCATAGGAACACCTGTGGAGTCCCCAATTTCAGGGCACATGGGAGAAGCAAAGATGTAACACCTAGAAAGCATTGCCCTTCCCAACATCAAACCCAAACCATGGATCAGTTATGTTGATGAAGAATTTGGCATCCTAAAAGAAAATCAAATGAAACATGCGCTTCAAATGCTTCATTACACCTACCATAGAGACTGAGAAAGAAAACAAACTCTCAATCTTCAACTTCCTCATCCCCAAACAGAACAATGACATGCTGCAAACCCAGCTGTTACAGAAAACCAGCACACAGTGGCCAAATCTAAATTTCCACAGCAACCGCCCCACAGCACACAAGTTCAGGTGCACAAGAACTCTCATCAATACAACAGTTCACTCTGAAAAGCAGAATTTTACCTTCAGAATATATTCAAGAATAACAACAACCCACTCCCTATTTCTTTAAAAAAATACTCCAAGAAACAAAATAAAAGCAGAAAGACAAGAACCACTACAATAACACTCCCATACATGAAAGACATCCTATCAGAAAACACCAGTAAACAGCTCCAACCACTGGGCATCACAGTGGCCCACAGACCTACAAAAATATTATAAAGAATTGTGTGCAAAGCAAAAAAACCACACACCTCATTGAGACAGCACTACTATTGTATCGTACACAAAATGTACTGCCAGGATCGCAACCAACTCTGCATAGGTTAAACAGGACGCCAGTTGCATCCAAACATGAAAGAACACCTAAGTGCCACAAAGAACCAGGATCACAAATGCTTAACAGCCACCCACATCCTCAATAAAAATCGCACATCCCCTGGAACAACAGGGAAATAATGGACCATGGAACTGAAGGACAGCCAGAGAATTCCTAGAAGCCGGGTACTCCAATAAATTGGCCATCAGCAGATCAGTGGACTTGGATAAGATCTACCACCCACTCAGGGGCCTGAGCCAAACCACGCACAACAAACAGACAAGGTAGACCAATCAATGTGGAGACAACACCATTCCCAGAAGCCAACTGATCAATACCACCCAGGAAGCCTCCAGTTATCAACCACCACCACCACCATCACCTGTGATTGAAATATTACACAGACTGGAAATACTGCAAGGCAATCCTCACTTCTGGACCATTGCCCTGAAGAAGCCTCACTGACACATGGGTGAAAATCTGCAGAATAAACTCATCAAGACCTCAGTGTTGATCTCCCAAAGGCTGGAAAACCCAGCTACTAAGGATGCACAGCAAACCTGGGCTACCTCCACTCCTAGAAATCCATCAACCCCTAGACCCTCCAGACGACTCCAAAGTGGCTAAGATTTGCTTCTGGAAACCACCAAACTCTGCCTGGAGCAGCATAGTACAGAGGAGATTTGACACGACCCCAAGGGGGAATCCAATGTTCCAGACTGCTCTAGAATATCCAGTCCTGAACTTATGAGCTTTGATTATGTTCTGATATTCGCTAGCATTCTAAAGTTCTGTAGTAGTACCTATAGAAGAGACAGACTTAACCATAGTTTCAACTGGGAAACTGTCAGCATCTTAGACCAAGCTAAATCCAAAAATGCGAGGGAATTCCTGGAAGCTTGGTATTCAGACAAGGCAGCCATCAACAGGGGCATAGAGATAAACTGCATCTACACATTATTCAAAAGAGACAATAGAAAGGAAAACAAAAGACCAGAACATCTCCTCACCAGCAATCATCACCCAGATTAGCAGAGAT